TATATATATATATATATATATATATGTATGTATGTATATAACAACATTATGTTTATGTTCTTTTTAGTCAGTAAGGTGGATAATACAAAAACATATGGGTTTTATAGTTTTTCTATCATTTTGGGGTATATAGACTACCTAACCACCAGTCTGTTAGTTTGTTATACTGTGGTGGCTTGTGTGTTGCTATGATGCTGGAAGCTATGCCACCAGTATCTCAAGTGCCAGCAGGGTTGCCCATGGTGGACAGGCTTCAGTAGAACTTCCACACTTCTGTTCTTCCAAAAATTAGCCAATGAAAATCTTACGGATCACAACAGAATATTTTCCGATACAGTGCTGAGACCAAACAACACTTTCTTCTGTTATACATAAGGTCACCATGAGCCGAAGCCTACTTAATGGCAACTAACAACAACAACAACAAGACTATCTAAAACAGAAGTTCACTTTATCATACCCCCCACAAAAGAACTTGCCTAACAACCAACAAAGGCTTAAAATAATCATTTTTAGCTTAGAAAATAACTATAAAAGTTGTGAACTAAAGAAAACATCAGAGCTAATATACTTTTTAAAATGGTCTAATTTAACTGTCAGGCTAATACTGTTTTCTATTTTCAAATAGAAAAGGCATTTTTCTGTCATCAAATCAACAGGGTGGCCATTTTCTATCCAGCTGCCAATTAAGTTCTAAAATTACATTTGAAACTTATTTTGGTAATTTACTCTTTTCTATAGTAGCCTGTAATGCTTATAGACTCTTTTATTCAGAATAATGTAGTTTACCTCAGTATGCTTTCAAAGGACTAGGAGGTAGCTTTCACTAAAATAGTGAACCTCAACTCAGTAACTAGTTCAGTATCTGAACTGCTGTCCTCATTAAGAATGATAAAATGAAATAACTAATTCAGATACCATTGTTTTGGAAATTTAGCAGCCTATGAGAACCAGATTTCTATGTATGCTAGTCTAGAGAGGCCATTCATACAAGGAAATAATGTGTGCAGATGAAAAACAATTTTTTTTTAAACCATACAAAAACTGCTACATGAATCTTGCCAAGTAAGTCATATTTTTCCATTAATTTTTACTATAATTTTGGAGATATGCTTCTGTGTAAAGTTTAACACTAACATATCAGTGGG